GTTTATTATACTGTTGTGTTCATTATTCATCTAGAACACTTTGAGTCACTGTCTCCCTTATGACCCTCAGAAATGTAACCTAGTGATCTCCCTGCAACCCTGGGCCTGAACCCTGGACTCTCCTGAGCAACATCTATGCTAGACTGGAGCATGAATACTTCCTGGAACAGTGATAACATGAAGCTCTTTCCAAGGCAGAACAATCAGTATGGAAGGTATTTGAAAAATATATTCACCTATCAATGAGCTGTGTGATTTGAATGGCCTTAAAGTCCTGACCCATTTCTTGTGTCCCATCTGTTCCAAAATTCACAGCTCAGTTACCGCGTATCTACTACTTAGAAATGTAAAGGCAAGAAATCTTTAGTGTCCATCCTTTTTTCATGGTCTAAGTCAGATTGGGTTCCCTAAAGGAAGGGAGAACCCAAATTTTATGGCTTAGATTTCACTGGATTCGAAGAAGGTCTTGTTATCTAATGTTTGAAGGAGGATATCAAAAAACACATAGGTACTTAAACTGATATTTCCACCTACCTGAAGGTGAAAAGATTGGGGCACCAAATCTGCATCCTCGGTCACTGAAATGCAGAAGAGAAGATATGGAAATGAGCAGTGTGCTGATGCCGGTCAGCTTGACATACATAGATTTCGCCAAAAAGTGCCGTTCTTGGCAGGGCTCATGCTCCCCTTACAAGAGAACCTGGGCTTAACAGGATTCCCCAAAAGGGAAGCACTGTTTGGTGAATGAGGTCCTGTGCACTGGCCTATGAGAAAGGCCTGACGGGACTATTCCCCCATTTCTCCCCTGTCCTTTAGCCTGGGTCTCAGCAGCCCCAACCACAGCATGATATTTATGTCATCACCTCTCTTCATGTCGTTGGTTTGTCATCATAGACCAGTGTCCTCAGTAGGCATAGTTCTATCTACTAGTGGGATACTAACAGTGCTGATTTTCAGGATGACAAAGACCATCTCTTTAGAAAGTAGGTATCGGCAAGCTTCAGATAATTGGTCATCGGGTATTAGATTTCTGCAGAGTATCAAGTAGAATCAGTCGTCTCAATCAAGGAAAATTTTATGGTTCCATGTTGCAAGTCAGTGTTTGAAGAATGCAATGTTCACTTTTGGAAAGCCCAGTATCTACATCGTGATGATTGGCTGCATTGATAATCAGTGCATGGGGGAAGTTATGATAAATTGCAAAATCTGTTACCATTTGACACACGTAGCCAAGTTTAATCCTTCACTGGTATCCTCCTCAACCTCACTGCCAGCATTCAATGCATAAGGTGACATACCATTGGAAGGGGATATTATCAGACTGGTGAAAAGATTCTACCATCTGATCATTTACTGTGTCTCACTAGGTTCAAGACATCTCATCTGCTTTGCTCAGAGCTATCCAAATTCCCTCTGACATCACTAAGTACTCACCATTGTAGGATGTATAGCCTCAAGTTTCTTAACTTCTCAAACACCACATGCATAGGATCCCTTTAACTGATCTCTGGCCCAATTCCTTATCACATGAAGGATGTAGGACTATATAGCATGGGATGACATTCCTGTGTCAGATATATCATGTCACTTATGTTTGGTGAGTGGGTATCCACATAATGCTGAGCCTGTGCATCTATGCCAAGAGGGCAATGCCTGTCCAGTTGCACATTGTCGAATTGCCTCATGTGGCTTGTTGCCTTCCTATCAGGACAAGATCTTTACACCGAACAAAAAAATTGGTATCTAAGTTTATTATAATGTTTTGTACATTATTCCACAAGAACAATGTGATTCACTGTCTCCCTTTTGACCCCCAGAAAGGTGTACTAGTGATCTTCCTGCAATCCTGGGCCTGAACACTCCGGGACACTCCTGAGCACCATCTGTGCAAGACTGGAGCATGAATACGTCCTGGCACAGTGAGATCATGATGCTCTTGCCAAGGCAGTAACAATCAGTATGGAAGGTATTTGAAAAATACATTCACTTATTAATGAACTGTTTGATTTGAATGGCCTGAAAGTCCTGACCCAATTCTTGTGTCCCATCTGTTCCAAAATTCACAACTCAGTTACCAAATATTCACTAATTGGAAATCTAAAAGGCAAGAAATCTTTAGTGAGCATCCTTTTATCATGGTCTAAGTCAGATTGGGTTGTCTAAAGGAAGGGAAAACCCAAGTTTTATGGCTTAGTTTTCACTGGATTCCAAGAAGGTCTTGTTATCAAATGTTTGAATGAGGATATCCAAAGGACACGTAGGGACATACTGATATTTCCACCTACCTGACGGTGACAAGATTGGGGCACAAAGTCTGCATCCTCGTTTACTGAAATGCAGCAGAGCAGAAATGGAAATGAGAAGAGTGCTGATGCCAGTAAGCTTGACATACATAGATTTCGCCAAAAAGTGCCTCCCTTGGCAGGACTCATGCTCCCCTAAAGAAGAGCACCTGGACTTAACAGAATTTCCCTGAAGGGAAACACTGCTGGGTGAGAGAGGGCCTGTGCACTGGCCTATGAGAAAGGCCTGATGGGACTAGTCCCCCAATTCTCCCCTGTCCTTTAGCCTGGGCCTCAGCAGCCTCAAACTCTGCATGATATTTTGTCATCACCTCTCTTCATGCCTTTGGTTTGTCATCATAGACCCGTGTCCTCAGAAGGCATAGCTATACCTGCTAGTGGCATACAAACAGTGCTGCTTACCATGATGACAAAAACCATCTAACATGCAGGTAGGTCTCGGCAAGGTTCACACAAATGGCCTGCTGGCATTAGACTCCTGCAGGGTATCAAGCAGAAGCAGTTGTCTCAGTCAAGTAAAATATAAGGGTTCCAAATTTACTAGTCAGTGTCAGCAGAGTTGCAATGCTCAGGTTTGGAATGCCCAAAACATAGATTATGATCATTGGGTGCATTGATAATCAGGGCTTTGGGGTACATATTGGTAAATTTCAAATGCATTTACCTGTTTGCACACCTAGCCAAGTTTAACCCTTCACAGTTTTCATCCTCATCCGCACTTCCAGCATTTATTGCATGAGGTAAAACATCATAGGGAGGGCATATTATAGTCTTGGTGAAAACACTTTAGCATCTCATCATTTACTGTGTCTTTCAAGGTACAAGAAATTCAGCTGCTCTGCTTAGAGCTTCCCATTTCATCCTGACATCATTGACTACTCACCATTTTAGGATGCATAACTTCATGTATCATAACTGCCCAAGCACCACATTTATAGGATGCCGTCAACTGTTGTCTTAGCCATTACCTTATCACATGAAGCATGGTGGCCTTTATAACTTGGAATGTCGTTCATGTGTTTGACATTTCATATGAATTTGTCTGGTGAGTGGGTATCCACATAATGGTGAGCCTGTGCATCTATGGCAAGAGGGCAATGCCTGTCCCGGTGCACATTGTCGAATTGCCTCATGTGGCTTATTGCCTGCATATCAGGACAAGTTCATTAATCCTAACAAACAAAATTGGTATCTAAATTTATTATACTGTTGTGTACATTATTCCACAAGATCACTGTGAGTCCATGTCTCCCTTTTGACCCTCAGAAAGGTAACCTAGTGTTCTCCCTGCAATCCTGGGCCTGAACACTCCGGGACACTCCTGAGCAACATCTATGCAAGACTGGAGCATGAAAACATCCTGGCACAGTGAGTACTTGAATCTCTTGCCAAGGCAGTAACATTCAGCATGGAAGGTATTTGAAAAATACATTCAATTATCAATGAACTGTGTGATTTGAATGGCATGAAAGTCCTGACCCATATCTTGTGTCCCATCTGTTACAAAATTCACAACTCAGTTACCAAATATCTACTAATTGGATATCCAAAAGACAAGAAATCCTTAGTGACCATCCTTTTATCACGGTCTAAGTTAGATTGGGTTCCCTAAGGGAAGGGAGAACCCAAGTTTTATGGCTTAGATTTCACGGGATTCCAAGAAGGACTTGTTATCTAATGTTTGAAGGAGGATAGCCAAAGCACACGTAGGTACATAGGCTGATATTTCCACCTACCTGAAGGTGAGAAGATTGGGGCACAAAGTCTGCATCCTCGTTTACTGAAATGCAGAAGAGAAGAAATGGAAATGAGAAGTGTGCTGATTCTGGTCAGCTTGACATACATAGATTTCGCCAAAAAGTGCCTTCCTTGGCAGGACTCATGCTCCCCTAAAGAAGAGCACCTGGACTTAACAGGATTCCCCAGAAGGGAAACACTCCTGGGTGAATGAGGGCCTGTGCACTGGCCTATGAGAAAGGCCTGATGGCACTAGTCCCCCATTTCGCACGTGTCCTTTAGCCTGGGCCTCAGCAGCCGCAACCTCTGCATGATATTTTGTCATCACCTCTCTTCATGCCTTTGGTTTGTCATCATAGACCCGTGTCCTCAGAAGGCATAGCTATATCTGCTAATGGGATAAAAACAGTGCTGCTTACCAGGATGACAAAGACCATCTAACTTGAAGGTAGGTCTCGGCAAGCTTCACACAAATGGCCCGTGGGCATTAGACTCCTGTGGGTATCAACCAGAAGCAGTTGTCTCAGTTAAGTAAAATATTAGGGTTCCAAATTTGAAAATCAGTGTCAGCAGAATTGCAATGCTGAAGTTTGGAATGCTCAAAACTTAGATTATGATGATTGTGTGCATTCATAATCAGGGCTTTGTGGTACATAATGGTAAATTGCAAATGCGTTTACCTGTTTGCACTCCTAGCCAAGTTTAACCCCTCACAGTTTTCATCCTCATTGGCACTTCCAGCATTTATTGCACGAGGTGAAACAACATAGGGAGGGCATATTATAGTCTTGGTGAAAACACTTTACCATTTGATCATTCCCTTTGTCTTACATGGTCCAAGATATCTCAACTGCTCTTCGTGGAGCTACCTATTTCACTATGACATTATTGACTACTCACCATTTTAGGATGCATAACTTCATTTATCTTAACTGCCTAAGCACCACATGCAGAGCATGCCCACAACTGTCATCTTAGCCAATTCCTTATCACATTAAAGATGGTGGCCTTTATAAATTCGGATGTCATTCATGAGTTTCACATTTCATGCGAATTTTGTCTGGAGAGTGGGTAACCACATGATGCAGAGCCTGTTCAAGTAGGCCAAGAGTGGTATGCCTAGTCAGTTGCAAACTGTCAAATTGCTTCATGTGACCTGATGCCTGCATGGCAGGACAAGTTCTCTAAACCTCACACATGAAAAGTTATCTGAGTTTAACATACAGATGTATACATTACTCCAGTAGTAAACTGTGAGTCTCTGTCTTCTTTATGACCCTCAGTAAGGTAACCTAGTGATAACCCTGCAGGCATGTGCCTTCACACTTGACACTCCTGTGCAGCATCTATGTAATATTGGAGCATGAATACATCCTGCCACAGTGAGAACAAGAAGCTGTGGCCAAGGCCGTAACAATCAGCATGGAAAGTATTTGAAATATACATTAACCTATCCATGAGGTGTGCTAGGAAAATGGGAAAATGGACTGAACTTCTTCACCTATTTCATTTGTCCCATCTGTTTGAAAATTCACAGCTCAGTTAACCAAGACCTACTACTGAAATTGTAAATAACACGGAATCTTTCATTTCCATCCTTTTTTCATGGTCTTAGTCAGATTGGATTCCAAAGAGGAAGGAGAACCCAGGTTCTCTGGCTTAAATTTCACTGGATTCCTAGAAGGTCTTGTTTTTAAATGACTGAAGGAGGATAACTAAAGGCGACCTAGGTACTTAAGCTGATATTTTGAAGAATGTGAAGATGAAATGATTGAGCCACCAAGTGTGCATCCTCATTCATAGAAGTGCAGAAGAGAAGAGATGGAAATGAGCAGATTGCTTATGCTGGCAAGATTGACAAACATAGATTTCGCCAAAAAGTGCTTTCTTGGCAGGACTCATGCTCGCCTAAAAAAGAGCACCTGGACTTTACAGGATTCCCCAGAAGGGAAACACTGCTGGGTGAATGAGGGCCTGTGCACTGACCTATGAGAAAGGCCTGATGGGACTATTCCCCCATTTCTCCCCTGACCTTTAGCCTGGGTCTCAGCAGCCCCAACCACAGCATGATATTTATGTCGTCACCTCTCTTCATGATATTGGTTTGTCAACATAGACCCGTGTCCTCAGAAGGCATAGCTATACGTGCTAGTGGGATACAAACAGTGCTGCTTTGCAGGATGACAAAGACCATCTCTTTAGAAGGTAGGTCCCGGCAAGCTTCACACAGATGGTCATCGGGTATTAGATTTCTGCTTGGTATCAAGCAGAATCAGTCGTCTTATTCAAGGAAAATTTTTGGTTCCAAGATGCAAGTCAGTGTCAGCAGAATAGCAATGCTCAGTTTTGGAAAGCACAATATCTACATTGCGATGATTGGGTGCATTGATAATCGGTCCTTAGGGGAAGATAATGGTAAATTGCAAATTCAGTTAGTTTTGCCCCCCTAGCCAAGATTAACCCTTCACTGGTTTCCTCCTCACCCGCACTGCCAGCATTCAATGCATGAGGAGACAGACCATTAGTAGGGCATATTATAGGCCTGGTGAAAGGATTCTACCATCTGATCATTTACTGTGTCTCATTAGGATCCAGATATCTCTTCTGCTCTGCACAGAGCTATCCATCTTCCCTCTGACATCACTGAGTACACACCATTGTAGGATGTATAACCTCAAGTTCCTTAACTTATCAAGCACCACCTGCATAGGATCCCCTCAACTGATCTCTTGCCCAATTACTTATCAACTGAAGGATGTAGGCCTATATAGCATGGCATGACATTCCTGTGTTAAAAATATCATGCCACTTATGTGTGGAGAGTGGGTATCCACATAATGCTAAGCCTGTGCATCTATGGCAAGAGAGCAATGCCTGTCCAGTTGCACATTGTCAAATTGACTCATGTGGCTTGATGCCTGCATATCAGGACAAGTTCTTTAATACTAACAAACAAAATTGGTATCTAAATTCATTATACTGTTGTGTACATTATTCCACAAGTACACTGTGAGTCACTGTCTCCCTTTTGACCCTCAGAAATGTAACGTAGTGATCTATCTGCAATCCTGGGCCTGAACACTCCGGGACACACCTGAGCAACATCTATGCAAGACTGGAGCATGAATATGTCCTGGCACAGTGAGAACATGAATCTCTTGCCAAGGCAGTAACAATCAGTATGGAAGATACATGAAAAATATATTCACTTATCAATAAACTGTGTGATTTGAATGGCCTGAAAGTCCTGACCCATTTCTTGTGTCCCATCTGTTCCAAAATTCACAACTCAGTTACCAAATATCTACTAATTGGAAATCTAAAAGACAAGAAATCTTTAGTGACCATCCTTTTATCATGGTGTAAGTCAGATTGGGTTCCCTAAAGGAAGGGAGAACCCAAGTTTTATGGCTTAGATTTCACTGGATTCGAAGAATGTCTTCTTATCTAATGTTTGAAGGAGCATTTCCAAAGGACACGTAGGTACATAAGCTGATATTTCCACCTACCTGAAGGTGAAAAGATTGGAGCACAAAGTCTGCATCCTCGTTTACTGAAATGCAGAAGAGAAGAGATGGAAATGAGAAGTGTGCTGATTCTGGTCAGCTTGACATACATAGATTTCGCCAAAAAGTGCCTTCCTTGGCAGGACTAATGTTCCCCTAAAGAAGAGCACCTGGACTTAACAGGATTCCCCAGAAGGGAGACACTCCTGGGTGAATGAGGGCCTTTGCACTGGCCTATGAGAAAGGCCTGATTGGACTAGTCCCCCATTTCGCACCAGTGTTTTAGCCTGGGCCTTAGCAGCCACAACCTCTGCATGATATTTTGTCATCACCTCTATTCATGCCTTTGGTTTGTCATCATAGACCCGTGTCCTCAGAAGGCATAGCTATATCTGCTAATGGGATAAAAACAGTGCTGCTTTCCAGGATGACAAAGACCATCTAACTTGAAGGTAGGTCTCGGCAAGCTTCACACAAATGGCCCGTGGGCATTAGACTCCTGTGGGTATCAACCAGAAGCAGTTGTCTCAGTCAAGGAAAATATTAGGATTCCAAATTTGAAAATCAGTGTCAGCAGAATTGCAATGCTCAGGTTTGGAATGCTCAAAACTTAGATTATGATGATTGTGTGCATTCATAATCAGGGCTTTGTGGTACATAATGCTAAATTGCAAATGCGTTTACCTGTTTGTACTCCTAGTCAAGTTAACCCCTCACAGTTTTCATCCACATCGGCACTTCCAGCATTTATTGCACGAAGTGAAACAACATAGGGAGGGCATATTATAGTCTTGGTGAAAACACTTTACCATCTGATCATTCCCTGTGTCTTACAAGGTCAAAGATATCGCAACTGCTCTTCTTAAAGCTACCAATTTCACTCTGACATTATTGACTACTCACCATTTTAGGATGCATAACTTCATGTATCATAACTGCCCAAGCACAACATTTATAGGATGCCCTCAACTGTTGATTAGCCAATACCTTATCACATGAAGGATGGTGGCCTTTAAACTTGGCGTTTCAGTCATGTGTTGGACATTTCATGGGAGTTTTGTTTGGTGAGTGGGTAACCACATTATGCAGAGCCTGTTCATGTAGGCCAAAGGTGGCATGCCTAGTCAGTTGCAAACTGTCAAATTGCTTCATGTGACCTGAAGCCTGCATGGCAGGACAAGTTCTCTAAACCTAACACAAGAAAACTTATCTGAGTTTGACTTACAGATGTATATATTATTCCACTAGTAAACAGTGAGTCTCTGTCTCCTTTTTGACCCTCAGTAAGGTAACCTAGTGTTCTACCTGCAGTCCTTCATAATTGACACTCCTGTGCCACATTTATGCAACAATGGAGCATGAATACATCCTGACAGTGAGAACTTGAAGCTCTGGCCAAGCTAGTAACAATCATTATGTAAAATATTTTAAATATAGTCTCACCTATCAATGAACTGTGCAAGGAAATTGGGAAAATGGACTGAAATTCTTCACCCATTTCATGTGTCCCATATCTTTGAAAATTCACAGCTCAGTTAAGCAAGACCTACTACTGAAATTGTAAATAACGCAGAATCTTTAATTTCCATCCTTTTTTCATGGTCTTAGTCGGATTGGATTCCAAAAGAAAGGGGAGCCCAGGTACTCTGGCTTGAATATCACTGGATACCTAGAAGGTCTTGTTTTCTAATTTTGAATGAGTATATCTAAAGGCGATCTAGGTACTTAAGGTGATATTTCTACGAAGATGAAGGTGAAATGATTGAGCCACCAAGTGTGCATTCTCATTCACAGAAATGCAGAAGAGAAGAGATTGAAATGAGCAGATTGCAGATGCTGGCAAGATTGACATACATAGATTTCGCCAAAAAGTGCCTTCCTTGGCAGGACTCATGCTCCCCTAAAGAAGAGCACCTGGACTTAACAGGATTCCCCAGAAGGGAAACACTGCTGGGTGAATGAGGGCCTTTGCACTGACCTATGAGAAAGGCCTGATGGGACTAGTCCCCCATTTTTCCCCTTTCCTTTAGCCTGGCCTCAGCAGCCTCACACTCTGCATGATATTTTGTCATCACCTCTCTTCATGCCTTTGGTTTGTCATCATAGACCAGTGTCCTCAGAAGGCATAGCTATACCTTCTAGTGGGATACAAACAATGCTGCTTTGCAGAATGACAAAACCATCTCACTAGAAGTTAGGTCTCTGCAAGCTTCACACAAATGGTCATCGGGTTTTAGATTTATGCAGGGTATCAAGCAGAATCAGCCGTATTAGTCAAGGAAAATTTTATGGTTCCAAGCTGAAAGGCAGTGTCAGCAGAATAGCAATGCTCAGTTTTGGAAAGCCCAATATCTACATTGCAATGATTGCGTGCATTCATAATCGGTGCTTAGGGGAAGTTAATAATAAATTGCAAATGCAGTTACCTTTTGCCACACCTAGCCAAGATTAACCCTTCAGTGGTTTCCTCCTCATCCTCACTGCCAGCATTCATTGCATGAGGTGACAGACCATTGGAAGGGCATATTAAAGGCATGGTAAAAGGATTCTACCATCTGATCACTTACTGTGTCTCACTATGTTTAAGACATTTCTTTTGCTCTGCACAGAGCTATCCAACTTCCTTCTGACATTACTGAGTACTTCACATTTTTCATCCTCATCCGCAAATTCCTCTGAAATCACTGAGTACTTCACTGTTTTCATCCTCATCCGCACTTCCAGCATTTATTGAATGAGGTGAAACAACATAGGGAGGGCATATTATAGTCTTAGTGAAAACACTTTACCATCTGATCATTCACTCTGTCTTACAAGGTCCAAGATATCTCAACTGCTCTTCTTAGAGCTACTCATTTCACTCTTTCATTATTGACTACTCACCATTTTAGGATGCATAACTTCATGTATCTTAACTGCCTAAGAACCACATGCAGAGCACGCCCTGAACTGTCGGGTTAGCCAATTCCTTATCACATAAATATGGTGGCCTTTATAACCTGTGATGTCATTTATGAGATTGACATTTCATGCAAATTTTATCTGGTGAGTGGTTAACCACATGATACAGAGCCTGTTCATGTAGGCCAAGGTTGGTATGCCTAGTCAGTTGCAAACTGTCAAATTGCTTCATGTGACCTGATGCCTGCATGGCAGGACAGTTCTCTAATCCTAACACAAAAAAAGATATCTGAGTTTGACTTACAGATGTGTACATTAGTCCACTAGTAAACTGTGCGGCTCTGTCTCCTTTTTGACCCTCAGTAAGGTAACCTTGTGATCTCCCTTCAGTCCTGTGCCTTCACACTTCACATTCATGTGCAGCATCTATGCAATATTGGAGCATGAATACATCCTGCCACAGCGAGAACATGAAGCTCTTGCCAAGGCAGTAACAATCAGTGTGGAAGGTATTTGAAAAATACATTCACTTATCAATGAACTGTTTGATTTGAATGGCCTGAAAGTCCTGACCCATTTCTTGTGTCCCATCTGTTCCAAAATTCACAACTCAGTTACCAAATATCTACTAATTGGGACTCTAAAAGACAAGCAATCTTAAGTGACCATCCATTTATCATGATCTAAGTCAGATTGGTTTCCCTAAAGGAAGGGATAACCCTTTTTTATGGCTTAGATTTCACTGGATACGAAAAAGGTCTTGTTATCTAATGTTTCAAGGAGGATATCCAAAGGACACATAGGTACGTAAGCTGATATTTCCACCTGCCTGAAGGTGAAAAGATTGGGGCACAAAGTCTGCATCCTCGTTTACTGAAATGCAGAAGAGAAGAGATGGAAATAAGAAGTGTGCTGATACGGTCAGCTTGACGTACATAGATTTCGCCAAAATGTATCTTCCTTGGTAGGACTCATGCTCCCCTAAAGAAGAGCACCTGGACTTAACAAGATTCCCCTAAATGGAAACACTGCTGGTTGAATGAGGGCCTGTGCAATGGCCTATGAGAAAGTCTTAATGGGACTATAACCCCATTTCTCCCCTGTACTTTAGCCTGGGTCTCAGCAGCCCCAACCACAGCATGATATTTATGTCATCACCTCTCTTAATGACGTTGGTTTGTCATCATAGACCCGTGTCCTCAGAAGGCATAGCTATACATGCTAGTTGGATACAAACAGTGCTGCTTTGCAGGAAGGCAAAACCATCTCTTTAGAAGGTAGGACTCGGCAAGCTTCACACAAATGGTCATCGGGTATTAGATTTCTGCTTGGTATCAAGCAGAATCAGTGTTTTAGTCAAGGAAAATTTTATGGATACAAGATGCAAGTCAGTGTCAGCAGAATAGGAATGCCCAGGTTTGGACAGCCCAATATCTACATTGCGATGAAAGGGTACATTGAAAATTGGTGCTTAGGGGAAGATAATGATAAATTGCAAATGCAGTTAGTTTTGCCACACCTAGCCATGATTAACCCTTCACTGGTTTCCTCCTCAACCTCACTGCCAGCAATCAATACATGAGGTGACAGACCATTAGAAGGGCATATGATTGGCCTGGTGAAAAGATTCTACCATCTGATCATGTTCTGTTTCTCAGTAGGATCAGACATCTCTTCTGCTCTGCACAGAGCTATCCAACTTCCCTCTGACATCACTGAGTACTCACCATTGTAGGATGTATAACCTCAAGTTTCTTAACTTCTCAAGCACGAATTGCATAGGATCCCTTCAACTGATCTCTTGCCCAATCCCTTATCACATGAAGCATGTAGGCCTATATAGCTTGGCATGACATTCCTGTGTTAGAAATATCATGTCACTTATGTGTGGTGAGTGGGTATCCACATAATGCTGAGCCTGTGCATCTATGGCAAGAGGGCAATGCCTGTCCAGTTGCACATTGTCGAATTGCCTCATTTGGCTTGTTGCCTGCATATCAGGACAAGTTCATTAATCCTAACAAACAAAATTAGTGTCTAAATTTATTATACAGTTGTGTACATTATTCCACAAGAACACTGTGAGTCACTGTCTCCCTTTTGACCCTCAGAAATATACCCTATTGATCTATCAGCAATCCTGGGCCTGAACACTCCGGGACACTCCTGAGCAACATCTATGCAAGACTGGAGCATGAATACATCCTGGCACAATGAGAACATGAATCTCTTGCCAAGGCAGTAACAATCAGTATGGAAGGTATTTGAAAAATACATTCACTTATCAATGAACTGTGTGATTTGAAAGGCCTGAAAGTCCTGACCAAATTCTTGTGTCCCATCTGTTGCAAAATTCACAGCTCAGTTAACAAATATCTAATAATCGGAAATCTAAAAGACAAGAACTCTTTAGTGGCCATCCTTTTATCATGGTCTAAGTCAGATTGGGTTGCCTAAAGGTAGGAGAACCCAAGTTTTATGGCTTAAATTTCACTGGATTCCAAGAATGTCTTGTTATCTAATGTTTGAAGGAGTATATACAAAGGACACGTAGGTAAATGAGCTGATATTTCCACCTACCTTAGGGTGAAAATATTGGGGCACAAAGTCTGCATCCTCGTTTACTGAAATGCCGAAGAGAAGAGATGGAAATGAGAAGTGTGCTGATGCCGATCAGCTTGACATACATAGATTTCGCCAAAAAGTGCCTTAAGTGGCAGGACTCATGCTCCCCTAAAGAAGAGCACCTGGACTTAACAGGATTCCCCAGAAGGGAAACACTGCTGGGTAAATGAGGGACTGTGCACTGGCCTATGAAAAAGGCCTGATGGGACTAGTCCCCCATTTTTCCCCTGTCCTTTAGCCTGGGCCTCAGCAGCCTCAAACTCAGCATGATATTTTGTCATCACCTCTCTTCATGCCTTTAGTTTGTCATCATAGACCCGTGTCCTCAGAAAGCATAGCTATACCTGCTAGTGGGATAAAAACTGTGCTGCTTACCAGGATGACAATGACCATGTAACTTGAAGTAGGTCTCGGCAAGCATTCACACCAGGGTCCACGGGCATTAGACTCCTGCAGGGTATCAAGCAGAAGCAGTTGTCTCAGTCAAGTAAAATATTAGGGTTCCAAATTTGCAAGTCAGTGTCAGCAGAATTGCAATGCTCATGTTTGAATACCCAAAATGTAGCTTATAATGACTGGGTGCATTGATATTAGGGCTTTCGTGTACATAATGGTAAATTGCAAATGCATTTACCTGTTTGCACACCTAGCCAAGTTTGCCCCTTCACAGTTTTCATCCTCATCCGCACTTCCAGCATTTATTGCATGAGGTGAAACATCATAGGGAGGGCATATTATAGTCTTGGTGAAAAGATTTTACCATCTTATCATTCACTGTGTCTTACATGGTCCAAGTTATCTCAACTGCTTTTCTTAGAGCTACCCATTTCACTCTGACATTATTGACTATTCACCATTTTAGGATTCATAATTTCATGTATCTTAACTGCCCAGGCACCACATTTATAGGATGTCCTCAACTGTCATCTTAGCCAATTCCTTATCACATTAATGATGGTGGCGTTTATAACTTGGGATGTCATTCATGTGTTTGACATTTCATGCGAATTTTGTTGATGAGTGAGTAACCTCATGATGCAGAGCCTGTTCATGTAGGCCAAGAGTGGTATGCCTAGTCAGTTGCAAACTGACAAATTGGTTCATGTGCCATGATACATGCATGGCAGGACGAGTTCTCTAATCCTAACACAAGAAAATTATCTGAGTTTGAATTACAGATGTGTACATTACTCCACTAGTAAACTGTGAGTCTCTGTCTCCTTTTTGACCCTCAGTAAGATAACCTAGTGAATCCCTGCAGTCGTGTGCCTTCACACTTGACACTCCTGTGCAGCATCAATGCAATATTGGAGTTTGAATTCATCCTGCCACATTGAGAACATGAAGCACTTGCCAAGGCAGTAGCAATCAGTATGAAAAGTATTTGAAATATACTTTCACCTATCAATGAGCTGTGCAATGAAAATCGGAAAATGGACTAAAATTCTTCACCTATTTCTTGTGTCCCATCTCTTTGAAAATTCACAGCTCAGTTAACCAAGACATACGACTGAAATTCTAAATAACATGGAATCTTTATTTTCCATCCTTTTGTCATGGTCTTAGTCAGATTGGATTCCAAAGAGGAAGGAGAACCCAGGTTCTCTGCCTTTAAGTTCACAGGATTCATAGAAGGTCTTGTTTTCTAATGTTTAAAGGAGGATATCGAAAGGTGACCTAGGTACTTAAGCTGATATTTCGACGAACGTGAAGGTGAAATGATTGAGCCACCAAGTGTGAATCCTCATTCATAGAAATGCAGAAGAGAAGAGATGGAAATGAGCAGATTGCTGATGCTGGCAAGTTTGAATACATAGATTTTGCCAAAAACTCCCTTTTTTGGCAGAAGTCATGCTCCCCTAAAAAAGAGCACCTAGACTTCACAGGATTCCCCAGAAGGGAAACACTGCTGGGTGAATGATAGCCTTTGCACTGACCTATGAGAAAGGCCTGATGGGAATATTTCCCCTTTTGTCCCCTGTCCTTTAGCCTGGGTCTCAGCAGCCCCAACCACAGCATGATATTTATGTCATCACCTCTCTTGATGATGTTGGTTTGTCATTATAGACCCGTGTACTCAGAAGGCATAGCTATTCTTGCTAGTGGGATACAAACAGTGCTGGTTTGCAGGATGACAAAGACCATCTCTTTAGAAGGTAGGTTTCGGTAAGCATCACACAAATGGTCATCGGGTATTAGATTTCTGCTTGGTATCAAGCAGAATTAGTCGTCTTATTCAAGGAAAATTTTATGGTTCCAAGATGCAAGTCAGTGTCAGCAGAATAGCAATGCTCAGTTTTGGAGAGCACAATATCTACATTGCGATGATTGGGTGCATTGATAATCGGTCCTTAGTGGAAGATAATGGTAAATTGCAAATGTAGTTAATTTTGCCACACGTAGCCAAGGTTAACACTTCACTGGTTTCCTCCTCAACCTCACTGCCAGCATTCAATGCATGAGGTGACAGACCATTAGAAGGGCATATTATAGGCCTGGTGAAAAGATTCTACCATCGGAACATTTACTCTTTCTCACTCGGATCATAACATCTCTTCTGCTCTGCACAGAGCTATCCAACTTCCCTCTGACATCACTGAGTACTCACCATTGTAGGATGTATAACCTCAAGTTTCTTAACTTCTCAAGCACCACATGCATAGGATCCCTTCAACTGATCTCTTGCCCAATTCCTTATCACATAAAGGATGTGGGCTTATTTAGCTTGGGATACATTCCTGTGTTAGAAATATCATGTCACTTATGTGTGGTGAGTGGGTATCCACATAATGCTGAGCCTGTGCATCTATGCCAAGAAGGCAATGACTGTCCAGTTGCACATTGTCAAATTGCCTCATGTGGCTTGTTGCCTGCATATCAGGACAAGTTCATTAATCCTAACTAAAAGAAATGTTATCAAAATTTATTTTACTGTTGTGTATATTACTCCACTAGAAAACTGTGAGTCACTGTCTCCCTTTGGACCCTCAGAGGTAACCAAGTGATCTCCCTGCAATCCTGGGCCTGAACACACCGGGACACTCCTGAGCAACATCTATGCCACCCTGGAGCAAAAATACGTCCTGGCACCTTGAGAACATGAAGGTCTTGCCAAGGCAGTAACAATCAGTATGGAAGGTATTTGAAAAATACATTCACTTATCAATGAACTGTGTGATTTGAATGGCTAGAGAGTACTGACCCAACACTTGTGTCCCATCTGTTGCAAAATTCACAGCTCAGTTAACAAATATCTAATAATCAGAAATCAAAAAGGCAAGAAATCTTTAGTGGCCATCCTTTTATCATGGTCTAAGTCAGATTGGGTTGCCTAAATGTAGGGAGAACCCAAGTTTTATGGCTTGGATTTCACTGGATTCCCAGAAGGTCTTGTTATCTAATGTTTGAAGGAGGATATCCAAAGGACACGTAGGTACATAAGCTGATATTTCCACCTACCTGAGGGTGAAAATATTGGGGCACAAGGCTGCATCCTCGTTTACTGAAATGCAGAAGAGAAGAGATGGAAATGAGAAATATGCTGATGCCGTTCAGATTGACATACATAGCTGTCGCCAAAAGGAGCCTTCCTTGGCAGGACTCATGCTCCCCTAAAGAAGAGCACCTGGACTTAACAGGATTCCGCAGAAGGGAAACACTGCTGGGTAAATGAGGGCCTGTGCACTGGCCTATGAGAAAGGCCTGATGGGACTAGTCCCCCATTTCTCCCCTGTGCTTTAGCCTGGGCCTCAGCAGCCTCAACCTCAGCATGATATTTTGTCATCACCTCTCTTCATATCTTTAGTTTCTCATCATAGACCCGTGTCCTCAGAAGGCATAGCTATACCTGCTAGTGGGATAAAAACTCTGCTGCTTACCAGGATGACAAAGACCATCTAACTTGAAGGTAGGTCTTGGCAAGCTTCACACCAATGGTCCACGGGCATTAAACTCCTGCAGGGTATCAAGCAGAAGCAGTTGTCTCAGTCAAGTAAAATATTAGGGTTCCAAGTTTACAAGTCAGTGTCAGCAGAATTGCAATGCTCATGTTTGAATGCCCAAAACGTAGATAATAATGATTGGGTGCATTGATAATCAGAGCTTTGGGGTACATAATGGTAAATTGCAAATGCATGTACCTGTTTGCACACCTAGCCAAGTTTGACCCTTCACAGTTTTCATCCTCATCCACACTTCCAGCTTTTATTGAATGAGGTGTAACATCATAGGGAGGGCACATTATAGTCTTGTTGAAAAGATTTTACCATCTTATCATTCACTGTGTCTTACAAGGTCCAAGTTATCTCAACTGCTCTTCTTAGAGCTACCCATTTCACTCTGACATTATTGACTACTCACCATTATAGGATGCATAACTTCATGTATCTTAACTGCCTAAGCACCACATCCAGAGCATGCCCTCAACTATCGTCTTTGCCAATTACTTATCACATTAAAGATGGTGGCCTTTATAACTTGGGATGTCATTCATGAGTTTGACATTTCATGTGAATTTTGTCTGGTGAGTGGGTAACCACATGATGCAGAGCCTGTTCATGTAGGCCAAGTTTGGTATGACTAGTTAGTTGCAAACTATCAAATTGCTACATGTGACCTCATGATTGCATGGCAGGACAAGTTCTCTAAACCTAACACAAGAAAAGTTATCTGAGTTTGATTTACAGATGTGTACATTACTCCACTAGTAAACTGTGAGTCTCTGTCTCCTTTTGACCCTCAGTAAGGTAACCTAGTGATCTCTCTGCAGTCCTGTGCCTTCACACTTTACACTCCTGTGCAGCATCTATGCAATATTGGAGCATGAATACATCCTGCCACAGTGAGAACATGAAGCTGTGGCCAAGGCAGTAGTAATCAGCATGCAAAGTATTTGAAATATACTTTCACCTATTAATGAGTTGTGCAAGGAAAATGGGAAAATGGACTGAACTTCTTCACCCAATTCATGTGTCCTATTTGTTTGAAAATAAACAGCTCAGTAAACCAAGACCTACTACTGAAATTGCAAATAACACGGAATCTTTCATTTCCATCCTTTTTTCATGGTCTTAGTCAGATTGGATTCCAAAAAGGAAGGAGAACCCAGGTTCTCTGGCTTAAATTTCAGTGGATTCCTAGAAGGTCTTGTTTTCTAATGTTTTAAGGAGGATATCTAAAGGCGACCTAGGTACTTAAGCTGATATTTCGACGAACGTGAAGGTGAAATGATTGGGCCACCAAGTGTGCATCCTCATTCACAGAAATGCAGAAGAAAAGATATGGAAATGAGCAGATTGCTGATGCTGGCAAGATTGACATACATAGATTTCGCCAAAAAGTGCCTTCCTTAGCAGGACTCATGCTCCCCTAAAGAAGAGCACCTGAACTTCACAGGATTCCCCAGAAGGGAAACTCTGCTGGGTGAATGATGGCCTGTGCACTGACCTATGAGAAAGGACTGATGGGACTATTCCCCCATTTCTCCCCTGACCTTTAGCCTGGGTCTCAGCAGCCCCAACCACAGCATGATATTTATGTTGTCACCTCTCTTCATTATGTTGGTTTGTCAACATAGACCCGTGTCCTCAGAAGGCATAGCTATACGTGCCAGTGGGATACAAACAGTGCTGCTTTGCAGGATGACAAAGACCATCTCTTTAGAAAGTAGGTCCCGGCAAGCTTCACACAGATGGTCATCGGGTATTAGATTTCTGCTTGGTGTCAAGCAGAATCAGTCGTCTTATTCAAGGAAAATTTTTGGTTCCAAGATGCAAGTCAGTGTCAGCAGAATAGCAATGCTCAGTTTTGGAAAGCACAATATCTACATTGCGATGATTGGGTGCCTTGATAATCGGTCCTTAGGGGAAGATAATGGTAAATTGCAAATTCAGTTAGTTTTGCCACCCCTAGACAAGATTAACCCTTCACTGGTTTCCTCCTCACCCGCACTGCCAGCATTAAATGCATGAGGAGACAGACCATTAGAAGGGCATATTATAGGCCTGGTGAAAGGATTCTACTATCTGATCATTTACTGTGTCTCACTAGGATCCAGACATCTCGTCTACTCTGCACAGAGCTATCTATCTTCCCTCTGACATCACTGAGTACTCACCATTGTAGGATGTATAACCTCAAGTTTCTTAACTTCTCAAGCCCCACCTGCATAGGATCCCTTCAATTGATCTCTTGCCCAATTCCTTATCACATGAAGGATGTAGGCCTATATAGCTTGGCATGACATTCCTGTGTTAAAAATATCATGTCACTTATGTGTGGTGAGTGGGTATCCACATAATGCTGAGCCTGTGCATCTATGGCAAGAGAGCAATGCCTGTCCAGTTGCACATTGTCAAATTGACTCATGTGGCTTGATGCCTGCATATCAGGACAAGTTCTTTAATACTAACCAACAAAATTGGTATCTAAATTCATTATACTGTTGTGTACATTATTCCACAAGAACACTGTGAGTCACTGTCTCCCTTTTGACCCTCAGAAATGTAAATTAGTGATCTATCTGCAATCCTGGGCCTGAACACTCCAGGACACACCTGAGCAACATCTATGCAAGACTGGAGCATGAATATGTCCTGGCACAGTGAGAACATGAATCTCTTGCCAAGGCAGTAACAATCAGTATGGAAGATATATGAAAAATATATTCACTTATCAATAAACTGTGTGATTTGAGTGGCCTGAAAGTCCTGACCCATTTCTTGTGTCCATTCTGTTCCAAAATTCACAACTCAGTTACCAAATATCTACTAATTGGAAATCTAAAAGACAAGAAATCTTAATGACCATTCTTTTATCATGGTCTAAGTCAGATTGGGTTCCCTAAAGGAAGGGAGAACCCAAGTTTTATGGCTTAGATTTCACTGGATTCGAAGAAGGTCTTGTTATCTAATGTTTGAAGGAGCATTTCCAAAGGACACGTAGGTACATAAGCTGATATTTCCACCTACCTGAAGGTGAAAAGATTGGGGCACAAAGTCAGCATCCTCGTTTACTGAAATGCAGAAGAGAAGAGATGGAAATGAGAAGTGTGCTGATTCAGGTCAGCTTGACATACATAGATTTCGCCAAAATGTGCCTTCCTTGGCAGGACTCATGCTCCCCTAAAGAAGAGCACCTGGACTTAACAGGATTCCCCAGAAGGGAAACACTCCTGGGTGAATGAGGGCCTGTGCACTGGCCTATGAGAAAGGCCTGGTGGCACTAGTCCCCCATTTCACACCTGTCCTTTAGCCTGGGCCTCAGCAGCCACAACCTCTGCATGATATTTTGTCATCACCTCTCTTCATGCCTTTGGTTTGTCATCGTAGACCCGTGTCCTCAGAAGGCATAGCTATATCTGCTAATGGGATAAAAACAGTGCTGCTTACCAGGATGACAAAGACCATCTAACTTGAAGGTAGGTCTTGGCAAGCTTCACACAAATGGTCCGTGGGCATTAGACTCCTGCGGGTATCAACCAATAGCAATTGTCTCAGTCAACTAAAATATTAGGGTTTCAAATTTGAAAATCAGTGTCAGCAGAATTGCAATGATCAGGTTTGGAATGCTCAAAACTTAGATTATGATGATTGTGTGCATTCATAATCAGGGCTTTGTGGTACATAATGGTAAATTGCAAATGCGTTTACCTGTTTGCACTCCTAGCCAAGTTTAACCCCTCACAGTTTTCATCCTCATCGGCACTTCCAGCAATTATTGCACGAGGTGAAACAACATAGGGAGGGCATATTATAGTCTTGGTGAAAACACTTTACCATTTGATCATTCCCTTTGTCTTACATGGTCCAAGATATCTCAACTGCTCTTCGTGGAGCTACCTATTTCACTATGACATTATTGACTACTCACCATTTTAGGAAGCATAACTTCATTTATCTTAACTGCCTAAGCACCACATCCAGAGCATGCCCTCAACTATCGTCTTTGCCAATTACTTATCACATTAAAGATGGTGGCCTATATAACTTGGGATGTCATTCATGAGTTTGACATTTCATGTGAATTTTGTCTGGTGAGTGGGTAACCACATGATGCAGAGCCTGTTCATGTAGGCCAAGATTGGTATGCCTAGTCAGTTAAAAACTATCAAATTGCTACATGTGACCTGATGCCTGCATGGCAGGACTAGTTCTCAAAACCTAACAGAAGAAAAGTTATCTGAGTTTGATTTACAGATGTGTACATTACTCCACTAGTAAACTGTGAGTCTCTGTCTCCTTTTGACCCTCAGTAAGGTAACCTAGTGATCTCTCTGCAGTCCTGTGTCTTCACACTTGACACTCCTGTGCAGCATCTATGCAATATTGGAGCATGAATACATCCTGCCACAGTGAGAACATGAAGCTGTGGCCAAGGCAGTAGTAATCAGCATGGAAAGTATTTGAAATATACTTTCACCTATTAATGAGTTGTGCAAGGAAAATGGGAAAATGGACTGAACTTCTGCACCCATTTCATGTGTCTTATTTGTTAGAAAATAAACAGCTCAGTAAACCAAGACCTACTACTGAAATTGCAAATAACACAGAATCTTTCATTTCCATCCTTTTTTCATGGTCTTAGTCAGATTGGATTCCAAAGAGGAAGGAGAACCCAGGTTCTCTGGCTTAAATTTCAGTGGATTCCTAGAAGGTCTTGTTTTCTAATGTTTGAAGGAGGATATCTAAAGGCGACCTAGGTACTTAAGCTGATATTTCGACGAACGTGAAGGTGAAATGATTGGGCCACCAAGTGTGCATCCTCATTCACAGAAATGCAGAAGAGAAGATATGGAAATGAGCAGATTGCTAATGCTGGCAAGATTGACATACATAGATTTCGCCAAAAAGTGCCTTCCTTAGCAGGACTCATGCTCCCCTAAAGAAGAGCAGCTGAACTTCACAGGATTCCCCAGAAGGGAAACTCTGCTGGGTGAATGAGGGCCTGTGCACTGACCTATGAGAAAGGCCTGATGGGACTATTCCCCCATTTCTCCCCTGATCTTTAGCCTGGGTCTCAGCAGCGCCAACCACAGCATGATATTTATGTCGTCACCTCTCTTCATGATGTTGGTTTGTCAACATAGACCCGTGTCCTCAGAAGGCATAGCTATACGTGCTAGTGGGATACAAACAGTGCTGCTTTGCAGGATGACAAAGACCATCTCTTTAGAAGGTAGGTCTCGGCAAGCTTCACACAGATGGTCATCGGGTATTAGATTTCTGCTTGGTATCAAGCAGAATCAGTCGTCTTATTCAAGGAAAATTTTTGGTTCCAAGATGCAAGTCTGTGTCAGCAGAATAGCAATGCTCAGTTTTGGAAAGCACAATATCTACATTGCGATGATTGGGTGCATTGATAATCGGTCCTTAGGGGAAGATAATGGTAAATTGCAAATTCAGTTAGTTTTGCCACCCCTAGACAAGATTAACCCTTCACTGGTTTCCTCCTCACCCGCACTGCCAGCATTAAATGCATGAGGAGACAGACCATTAGAAGGGCATATTATAGGCCTGGTGAAAGGATTCTACTATCTGATCATTTACTGTGTCTCACTAGGATCCAGACATCTCTTCTGCTCTGCACAGTGCTATCCATCTTCCCTCTGACATCACTGAGTACTCACCATTGTAGGATGTATAACCTCAAGTTTCTTACCTTCTCAAGCACCACCTGCATAGGATCCCTTCAACTGATCTCTTGCCCAATTCCTTATCACATGAAGGTTGTAGGCCTATATAGCTTGGCATGACATTCCTGTGTTAAAATTATCATGTCACTTATGTGTGGTGAGTGGGTATCCACATAATGCTGAGCCTGTGCATCTATGGCAAGAGAGCAATGCCTGTCCAGTTGCACATTGTCAAATTGACTCATGTGGCTTGTTGCCTGCATATCAGGACAAGTTCTTTAATACTAACCAACAAAATTGGTATCTAAATTCATTATACTGTTGTGTACATTATTCCACAAGAACACTGTGAGTCACTGTCTCCCTTTTGACCCTCAGAAATGTAACGTAGTGATCTATCTGCAATCCTGGGCCTGAACACTCCGGGACACACCTGAGCAACATCTATGCAAGACTGGAGCATGAATATGTCCTGGCACAGTGAGAACATGAATCTCTTGCCAAGGCAGTAACAATCAGTATGGAAGATATATGAAAAATATATTCACTTATCAATAAACTGTGTGATTTGAGAGGCCTGAAAGTCCTGACCCATTTCTTGTGTCCCATCTGTTCCAAAATTCACAACTCAGTTACCAAATATCTACTAATTGGAAATCTAAAAGACAAGAAATCTTAATGACCATCCTTTTATCATGGTCTAAGTCAGATTGGGTTCCCTAAAGGAAGGGAGAACCCAAGTTTTATGGCTTAGATTTCACTGGATTCGAAGAAGGTCTTGTTATCTAATGTTTGAAGGAGCATTTCCAAAGGACACGTAGGTACATAAGCTGATATTTCCACCTACCTGAAGGTGAAAAGATTGGGGCACAAAGTCAGCATCCTCGTTTACTGAAATGCAGAAGAGAAGAGATGGAAATGAGAAGTGTGCTGATTCTGGTCAGCTTGACATACATAGATTTCGCCAAAAAGTGCCTTCCTTGGCAGGATTCATGCTCCCCTAAAGAAGAGCACCTGGACTTAACAGGATTCCCCAGAAGGGAAACACTCCTGGATGAATGAGGGCCTGTGCACTGGCCTATGAGAAAGGCCTGGTGGAACTAGTCCCCCATTTCACACCTGTCCTTTAGCCTGGGCCTCAGCAGCCACAACCTCTGCATGATATTTTGTCATCACCTCTCTTCATGCCTTTGGTTTGTCATCATAGACCCGTGTCCTCAGAAGGCATAGCTATATCTGCTAATGGGATAAAAACAGTGCTGCTTACCAGGATGACAAAGACCATCTAACTTGAAGGTAGGTCTCGGCAAGCTTCACACAAATGGCCCGTGGGCATTAGACTCCTGTGGGTATCAACCAGAAGCAGTTGTCTCAGTCAAGGAAAACATTAGGGTTCCAAGTTTGAAAATCAGTGTCAGCAGGATTGCAATGCTCAGGTTTGGAATGCTCAAAACTTAGATTATGATGATTGTGTGCATTCATAATCAGGGCTTTGTGGTACATAATGCTAAATTGCAAATGCGTTTACCTGTTTGTACTCCTAGCCAAGTTTAACCCCTCACAGTTTTCATCCCCATCGGCACTTCCAGCATTTATTGCACGAGGTGAAACAACATAGGGAGGGCATATTATAGTCTTGGTGAAAACACTTTACCATTTGATCATTCCCTGTGTCTTACATGGTCCAAGATATCTCAACTGCTCTTCGTGGAGCTACCTATTTCACTATGACATTATTGACTACTCACCATTTTAGGAAGCATAACTTCATTTATCTTAACTGCCTAAGCACCACATGCAGAGCATGCCCACATCTGTCTTCTTAGCCAATTCCTTATCACATTAAAGATGGTGGCCTTTATAACTTGGGATGTCATTCATGAGTTTGACATTTCATGTGAATTTTGTCTGGTGTGTGAGTAACCAAATGATGCAGAGCCTGTTCATGTAGGCCAAGATTGGTATGCCTAGTCAGTTGCAAACTATCAAATTGCTACATATGACCTGATGCCTGCATGGCAGGACAAGTTCTCTAAACCTAACAGAAGAAAAGTTATCTGAGTTTGATTTACAGATGTGTACATTACTCCACTAGTAAACTGTGAGTTTCTGTCTCCTTTTGACCCTCAGTAAGGTAACCTAGTGATCTCTCTGCAGTCCTGTGCCTTCACACTTGACACTCCTGTGCAGCATCTATGCAATATTTGAGCATGAATACATCCTGCCACAGTGAGAACATGAAGCTGTGGCCAAGGCAGTAGTAATCAGCATGGAAAATATTTGAAATATACTTTCACCTATTAATGAGTTGTGCAAGGAAAATGGGAAAATGGACTGAACTTCTGCACCCATTTCATGTGTCCTGTTTGTTTGAAAATAAACAGCTCAGTATACCAAGACCTACTACTGAAATTGCAAATAACACGGAACCTTTCATTTCCATCCTTTTTTCATGGTCTTAGTCAGATTGGATTCCAAAGAGGAAGGAGAACCCAGGTTCTCTGGCTTAAATTTCAGTGGATTCCTAGAAGGTCTTGTTTTCTAATGTTTTAAGGAGGATATCTAAAGGCGACCTAGGTACTTAAGCTGATATTTCGACGAACGTGAAGGTGAAATGATTGGGCCACCAAGTGTGCATCCTCATTCACAGAAATGCAGAAGAGAAGATATGGAAATGAGCAGATTGCTAATGCTGGCAAGATTGACATACATAGATTTCGCCAAAAAGTGCCTTCCTTAGCAGGACTCATGCTCCCCTAAAGAAGAGCAGCTGAACTTCACAGGATTCCCCAGAAGGGAAACTCTGCTGGGTGAATGAGGGCCTGTGCACTGACCTATGAGAAAGGCCTGATGGGACTATTCCCCCATTTCTCCCCTGATCTTTAGCCTGGGTCTGAGCAGCCCCAACCACAGCATGATATTTATGTCGTCACCTCTCTTCATGATGTTGGTTTGTCAACATAGACCCGTGTCCTCAGAAGGCATAGCTATACGTGCCAGTGGGATACAAACAGTGCTGCTTTGCAGGATGACAAAGACCATCTCTTTAGAAGGTAGGTCCCGGCAAGCATCACACAAATGATCATCGGGTATTAGATTTCTGCTTGGTATCAAGCAGAATCAGTCGTCTTATTCAAGGAAAATTTTTGGTTCCAAGATGCAAGTCAGTGTCAGCAGAATAGCAATGCTCAGTTTTGGAAAGCACAATATCTACATTGCGATGATTGTGTGCATTGATAATCGGTCCTTAGGGGAAGATAATGGTAAATTGCAAATTCAGTTAGTTTTGCCACCCCTAGACAAGATTAACCCTTCACTGGTTTCCTCCTCACCCGCACTGCCAGCATTAAATACATGAGGAGACCGACCATTAGAAGGGCATATTATAGGCCTGGTGAAAGGATTCTACTATCTGATCATTTACTGTGTCTCACTAGGATCCAGACATCTCTTCTGCTCTGCACAGAGCTATCCATCTTCCCTCTGACATCACTGAGTACTCACCATTGTAGGATGTATAACCTCAAGTTTCTTAACTTCTCAAGCACCACCTGCATAGGATCCCCTCAACTGATCTCTTGCCCAATTCCTTATCACATGAAGGATGTAGGCCTATATAGCTTGGCATGATATTCCTGTGTTAAAAATATCATGCCACTTGTGTGGAGAGTGGGTATCCACATAAGGCTGAGCCTGTGCATCTATGGCAAGAGGGCAATGCCTGTCCAGTTGCACATTGTCAAATTGACTCATGTGGCTTAATGCCTGCATATCAGGACAAGTTCTTTAATACTAACAAACAAAATTGGTATCTAAGTTCATTATACTGTTGTGTACATTATTCCACAAGTACACTGTGAGTCACTGTCTCCCTTTTGACCCTCAGAAATGTAACGTAGTGATCTATCTGCAATCCTGGGCCTGAACACTCCGGGACACACCTGAGCAACATCTATGCAAGACTGGAGCATGAATATGTCCTGGCACAGTGAGAACATGAATCTCTTGCCAAGGCAGTAACAATCAGTATGGAAGATATATGAAAAATATATTCACTTATCAATAAACTGTGTGATTTGAATGGCCTGAAAGTCCTGACCCATTTCTTGTGTCCCATCTGTTCCAAAATTCAGAACTCAGTTACCAAATATCTACTAAATGGATATCTAAAAGACAAGAAATCTTAATGACCATCCTTTTATCATGGTGTAAGTCAGATTGGGTTCCCTAAAGGAAGGGAGAACCCAAGTTTTATGGCTTAGATTTCACTGGCTTCGAAGAAGGTCTTGTTATCTAATGTTTGAAGGAGCATTTCCAAAGGACACGTAGATACATGAGCTGATATTTCCACCTACCTGAAGGTGAAAAGATTGGGGCACAAAGTCTGCATCCTCGTTTACTGAAATGCAGAAGAGATAGATGGAAATGAGATGTGTGCTGATTCTGGTCAGCTTGACATACATAGATTTCGCCAAAAAGTGCCTTCCTTGGCAGGACTCATGCTCCCCTAAAGAAGAGCACCTGGACTTAACAGGATTCCCCAGAAGGGAAACACTCCTGGGTGAATGAGGGCCTGTGCACTGGCCTATGAGAAAGGCCTGGTGGAACTAGTCCCCCATTTCACACCTGTCCTTTAGCCTGGGCCTCAGCAGCCACAACCTCTGCATGATATTTTGTCATCACCTCTCTTCATGCCTTTGGTTTGTCATCATAGACCCGTGTCCTCAGAAGGCATAGCTATATCTGCTAATGGGATAAAAACAGTGCTGCTTACCAGGATGACAAAGACCATCTAACTTGAAGGTAGGTCTCGGCAAGCTTCACACAAATGGCCCGTGGGCATTAGACTCCTGTGGGTATCAACCAGAAGCAGTTGTCTCAGTCAAGGAAAACATTAGGGTTCCAAGTTTGAAAATCAGTGTCAGCAGGATTGCAATGCTCAGGTTTGGAATGCTCAAAACTTAGATTATGATGATTGTGTGCATTCATAATCAGGGCTTTGTGGTACATAATGCTAAATTGCAAATGCGTTTACCTGTTTGTACTCCTAGCCAAGTTTAACCCCTCACAGTTTTCATCCTCATCGGCACTTCCAGCATTTATTGCACGAGGTGAAACAACATAGGGAGGGCATATTATAGTCTTGGTGAAAACACTTTACCATCTGATCATTCCCTGTGTCTTACAAGGTCCAAGATATCGCAACTGCTCTTCTTAAAGCTATCAATTTCACTCTGACATTATTGACTACTCACCATTTTAGGATGCATAACTTCATGTATCATAAATGCCGAAGCACCACATTTATAGGATGCCCTCAACTGTTGATTAGCCAATACCTTATCACATGAAGGATGGTGGCCTTTATAACTTGGCGTTTCAGTCATGTGTTTGACATTTCATGGGAGTTTTGTCTGGTGAGTGGGTAACCACATGATGCAGAGCTTGTTCATGTAGGCCAAGGGTGTCATGCCTAGTCAGTTGCAAACTGTCAAATTGCTTCATGTGACCTGAAGCCTGCATGGCAGGACAAGTTCTCTAAACCTAACACAAGAAAACTTATCTGAGTTTGACTTAAAGATGTATACATTATTCCACTAGTAAACTGTGAGTCTCTGTCTCCTTTTTGACCCTCAGTAAGGTGACCTAGTGTTCTACCTGCAGTCCTGTGCCTTCATAATTGACACTCCTGTGCCGCATTTATCCAACAATGGAGCATGAATACATCCTGACAGTGAGAACATGAAGCTCTGGCCAAGCTAGTAACAATCATTATGTAAAATATTTTAAATATAGTCTCACCTATCAATGAGCTGTGCAAGGAAAATGGGAAAATGGACTGAAATTCTTCACCCATTTCATGTGTCCCATATCTTTGAAAATTCACAGCTCAGTTAAGCAAGACCTACTACTGAAATTGTAAATAACGCAGAATCTTTAATTTCCATCCTTTTTTCATGGTCTTAGTCGGATTGGATTCCAAAAGGAAGGGGAGCCCAGGTTCTCTGGCTTGAATATCACTGGATACCTAGAAGGTCTTGTTTTCTAATTTTGAATGAGTATATCTAAAGGCGATCTAGGTACTTAAGGTGATATTTCTACGAAGATGAAGGTGAAATGATTGAGCCACCAAGTGTGCATTCTCATTCACAGAAATGCAGAAGAGAAGAGATTGAAATGAGCAGATTGCAGATGCTGGCAAGTTTGACATACATAGATTTCGCCAAAAAGTGCCTTCCTTGGCAGGACTCATGCTCCCCTAAAGAAGAGCACCTGGACTTAACAGGATTCCCCAGAAGGGAAACACTGCTGGGTGAATGAGGGCCTTTGCACTGACCTATAAGAAAGGCCTGATGGGACTAGTCCCCCATTTTTCCCCTTTCCTTTAGCCTGGCCTCAGCAGCCTCACACACTGCATGATATTTTGTCATCACCTCTCTTCGTGCCTTTGGTTTGTCATCATAGACCAGTGTCCTCAGAAGGCATAGCTATACCTTCTAGTGGGATACATACAATACTGCTTTGCAGAATGACAAAACCATCTCACTAGAAGTTAGGTCTCGGCAAGCTTCACACAAATGGTCATCGGGTTTTAGATTTATGCAGGGTATGAAGCAGAATCAGCCGTATTAGTCAAGGAAAATTTTATGGTTCCAAGATGCAAGTCAGTGTCAGCAGAATAGCAATGCTCAGTTTTGGAAAGCCCAATATCTACATTGCGATGATTGCGTGCATTGATAATCGGTGCTTAGGGGGAAGTTAATAATAAATTGCAAATGCAGTTACCTTTTGCCACACCTAGCCAAGATTAACCCTTCAGTGGTTTCCTCCTCAACCTCACTGCCAGCATTCATTGCATGAGGTGACAGACCATTGGAAGGGCATATTAAAGGCATGGTGAAAGGATTCTACCATCTGATCACTTACTGTGTCTCACTATGTTTAAGACATTTCTTATGCTCTGCACAGAGCAATCCAACTTCCTTCTGACATTACTGAGTACTTCACATTTTTCATCCTCATCCGCAAATTCCTCTGAAATCACTGAGTACTTCACTGTTTTCATCCTCATCCTCACTTCCAGCATTTATTGAATGAGGTGAAACAACATAGGGAGGGCATATTATAGTCTTAGTGAAAACACTTTACCATCTGATCATTCACTCTGTCTTACAAGGTCCAAGATATCTCAACTGCTCTTCTTAGAGCTACTCATTTCACTCTTTCATTATTGACTACTCACCATTTTAGGATGCATAACTTCATGTATCTTAACTGCCTAAGAACCACATGCAGAGCACGCCCTCAACTGTCGGGTTAGCCAATTCCTTATCACATTAAAGATGGTGGCCTTTATAACCTGGGATGTCATTTATGAGATTGACATTTCATGCAAATTTTATCTGGTAAGTGGTTAACCACATGATGCAGAGCCTGTTCATGTAGGCCAAGGTTGGTATGCCTAGTCAGTTGCAAACTGTCAAATTGCTTCATGTGACCTGATGCCTGCATGGCAGGACAGTTCTCTAATCCTAACACAAGAAAAGATATCTGAGTTTGACTTACAGATGTGTACATTAGTCCACTAGTAAACTGTGCGGCTCTGTCTCCTTTTTGACCCTCAGTAAGGTAACCTTGTGATCTCCCTTCAGTCCTGTGCCTTCACACTTGACATTCATGTGCAGCATCTATGCAATATTGGAGCATGAATACATCCTGCCACAGCGAGAACATGAAGCTCTTGCCAAGGCAGTAACAATCAGTGTGGAAGGTATTTGAAATATACATTCACTTATCAATGAACTGTTTGATTTGAATGGCCTGAAAGTCCTGACCCATTTCTTGTGTCCCATCTGTTCCAAAATTCACAACTCAGTTACCAAATATCTACTAATTGGGACTCTAAAAGACAAGCAATCTTAAGTGACCATCCATTTATCATGATCTAAGTCAGATTGGTTTCCCTAAAGGAAGGGATAACCCTTTTTTTATGGCTTAGATTTCACTGGATACGAAAAAGGTCTTGTTATCTAATGTTTCAAGGAGGATATCCAAAGGACACATAGGTACATAAGCTGATATTTCCACCTACCTGAAGGTGAAAAGATTGGGGCACAAAGTCTGCATCCTCGTTTACTGAAATGCAGAAGAGAAGAGATGGAAATGAGAAGTGTGCTGATACGGTCAGCTTGACATACATAGATTTCGCCAAAAGGTATCTTCCTTGGTAGGACTCATGCTCCCCTAAAGAAGAGCACCTGGACTTAACAAGATTCCCCAGAAGGGAAACACTGCTGGTTGAATGAGGGCCTGTGCAATGGCCTATGAGAAAGTCTTAATGGGACTATAACCCCATTTCTCCCCTGTACTTTAGCCTGGGTCTCAGCAGCCCCAACCACAGCATGATATTTATGTCATCACCTCTCTTAATGACGTTGGTTTGTCATCATAGACCCGTGTCCTCAGAAGGCATAGCTATACTTGCTAGTGTGATACAAAAAGTACAGCTTACCATGATGACAAAGACGATTTAACTTGAAGGTATGTCTCGGCAAGCTTCATACAAATGGTCCGCGGGCATTAGACTCCTGCAGGGTATCAACCAGAAGCAGTTGTCTCAGACAAGGAAAATATTAGGGTTCCAAATATGAAAGCCAGTGTCAGCAGAATTGCAGTGCTCATGTTTGGAATGCTCAAAACTTAGATTATGATGATTGTGTGCATTGATAATCAGTGCTTTTTAGTACATAATGGTGTAGCGCAAATGCATTTACCTCTTTGCACTCCCAGCCAAGTTTAACCCTTCACAGTTTTCATCCTTATCCGCAATTCCAGTGTTTATTGCATGAGATGAAACATCATAGGGAGGGCATATTATAGTCTTGGTGTAAACACTTTACCATCTGATCATTCACTGTGTTTTACAAGGTCCAAGATATCTCAACTGCTCTTCTTAGAGCTACCCATTTCCCTCTGACATTATTGTCTACTGACCATTTTAGGATGCATAACTTCATGTATCTTAACTTCCTAAGCACCACATACAGAGCATGCCCTCAACTGTGGTCTTAGCCAATTCCTTATCACATTAAAGACCGTGGCCATTTTAACTTGGGATGTCATTCATGAGTTTAACATTTCATGGGAATTTTGTCTGGTGAGTGGGTAACCACATGATGCTGAGCCTGTTCATGTAGGCCAAGAGTGGTATACCTAGTAAGTTGCAAACTCTCAAATTGCTTCATATGGCCAGATGCCTGCATGGCAGGACAAGTTCTCTAATCCTAACACAGGAAATGTTATCTGAGTTTGACTTACAGATGTGTACATTACCCCACTATTAAACTGTGAGTCTCTGTCTCATTTTGACTCTAAGTTAGTTAACCTACTGACTCCCTGCAGTCATGTGCCTTCAATTTTGACACTCCTGTGCAGTATCAATGCAATGTTGGCGCATGAATACATCATGCCACAGTGAGATCATGAAGCTCTGGCCAAGGCGGTAACACTCAGTATGGAAAGTATTTGAAATATACTTTCACCTATCAATGAGGTGTGCAAGGATAATGGGAAAATGGACTGAACTTCTTCACCCATTTCTTGTTTTCCATCTCTTTGAAAATTCATAGCTCAGTTAACCAAGACATACTACTGAAATTTTAAATAACACGGAATCTTTAATTTCCATCCTTTTTTCATGGTCTTAGTTGGATTTTATTCCAAAGAGGAAGGAGAGCCCAGGTTCTGTGGCTTGAATTTCACTGCATTCCTAGAAGGTCTTGTTTTCTAATGTTAAGGGAGGATATCTAAATTTGACCTAGGTACTTAAGCTGGTATTTCGACGAACGTGAAGGTGAAATGATTGAGCCACCAAGTGTGCATCCTCATTCATGGAAATGCAGAACAGAAGAGATGGAAATGAGCAGATTGCTGATGCTGGCAAAATTGACATACATAGATTTCGCCAAAAAGTGCCTTCCTTAACAGGACTCATGCTCCCCTAATGAAGAGCACCACCTGGACTTAATAGGATTCCCCAGAAGGGAAACACTGCTGGGTGAATGAGGGCATTTGCAGTGACCTATGAGAAAGGCCTGATGGGGCTATTCCCCCATTTCTCCCCTGTCCTTTAGCCTGGGTCTCAGCAGCACAAACCACAGAATTATATTTATGTCATCACCTATCTTCATGACGTTGGTTTGTCATCATAGACCCGTGTCCTCAGAAGGCATAGCTAAACCTGCTAGTGGGATACAAACAGTGCTGCTTTGCAGGTTGACAAAGACCATCTCTTTATAAGGTAGGTCTTGGCAAGCTTCACACAAATGGTCATCGGGTATTAGATTTCTGCAGGGTATCAAGCAGAATCAGTCGTTTTAGTCAAGGAAAATTTTATGGTTCCAAGATGCAAGTCAGATTAAGCAGAATAGCAATGCTCAGTTTTGGAAAGCCCAATATCTACATTGGGATGATTGTGTGCATTGATTATCGGTGCTTAGGGGGAAGTTAATAATAAATTGCAAATGCAGTTACCTTTTGCCACACCTGGCCAAGATTAACCCTTCACTGGTTTCCTCCTCAACCACACTGCCAGCATTCAATGCATGAGGTGACAGACCATTGGAAGGGCATATTATAGGCCTGGTGAAAAGATTCTACCATCTGATCATTTACTGTGTCTCACTAGGTTTAAGACATCTCATCTATTCTGCGCAGAGCTATCCATCCTCCCTCTGACATCACTGAGTACTCGCCATTGTAGGATGTATAACCTCAAGTTTATTAACTTCTCAAGCACCACATGCATTGGATCACTTCACCTGATCTCTTGCCCAATTCCATAATACATGTAGGAAGTAGGCCTATATAGCTTTGGATGATATTTCTGTGTTAGAAATATCATGTCACTTATGTGTGGTGAGTGGGTATCCACATAATGCTGAGCCTGTGCATCTATGGCAAGAGGGCAATGCCTGTCCAGTTGCACATTGTTGAATTGCCTCATGTGGCTTGTTGCCTGCATGTCAAGAAAAGTTCATTTATCCTAACAAAAAATTGGTTTCTAAATTTATTATACTGTTGTATACATAATTCTGCAAGAGCACTGTGAGTCACTGTATCCCTTTTGACCCTCAGAAATGTAACCATTTGATCTCCCTTCAATCCTGGGCCTGAACACTCTGGGACACTCCTGAGCAACATCTCTGCAAGACTGGAGCATGAATACGTCCTGGCACAGTGAGAACATGAAGCTCTTGCCAAGGCAGTAACAAACAGTATGGAAGGTATTTGAAAAATACATCCACTTGTCAATGAACTGTGAGATTTGAATGGCCTGAAAGTCCTGACCCATTTCTTGTGTCCCATCTGTTCCAAAATTCAAAACTCAGTTACCAAATATCTACTAATTGGAAATCTAAAACACAAGAAATCTTTAGTGACCATCCTTTTATCATGGTCTAAGTCAGATTGGGTTCCCTAAAGGAAGGGAGAACCCAAGTTTTATGGCTTAGATTTCACTGGATTCCAAGAAGGTCTTGTTATCTAATGTTTGAAAGAGGATATCCAAAGGACACCTAGGTACATAAGCTGATATTTCCACCTACCCGAAGGTGAAAAGATAGGGCACCAAGTCTGCATCCTCGTTTACTGAAATGCAGATGTGAAGAGATGGAAATGAGAAGTGTGCTGATGCCGGTCAGCTTGACATACATAGATTTCGCCAAAAAGTGCCTTCCTTTGCAAACTCATGCTCCCCTAAAGAAGAGCACCTGGACTTAACAGGATACCCCAGAAGGGAAACACTGTTGGGTGAATGAGGGCCTGTGTACTGGCCTATGAGAAAGGCCTGATGTGAGTAGTCACCCAATACTCCCCTGTCCTTTAGCCTGGGTCTCAGCAGCCCCAACCACAGCATGATATTTTTGTCATCACCTCTCTTCATGATGTTGGTTTGTCATCATAGACCCGTGTCCTCAGAAGGCATAGCTATACCTGCTAGTGGGATACAAACAGTGCTGCTTTGCAGGATGACAAGACCATCTCTTTAGAAGGTAGGTCTCGGCAAGCTTCACACAAATGGTCATCGGGTATTAGATTTCTGTAGGGTATCAAGCAGAATCAGTCGTCTTAGTCAAGGAAAATTTTATGATTCCAAGATGCTAGTCAGTGTCAGCAGAATAGCAATGCTCAGTTTTGCAAAGCCCAATATCTACATTGCAATGATTGGGTGCATTGATAATCGGTGCTTAGGGGAAGATAAAGATAAATTGCAAATGCAGTTAGTTTTGCCACACCTAGCTAAGATTAACCCTTCACTGTTTTCCTCCTCAACCTCAATGACAGCATTCAATGCATGAGGTGACAGAACATTACAAGGGCATATTATAGGCCTGGTGAAAAGATTCTACCATCTGATCATTTACTGTGTCTCACTAGGATCAAGACGTCTCTTCTGCTCTGCACAGAACACAAAGAAGCACACTCCCCCAGGAGGAGTAGATGCCAGGAAATAATCAAATTTATGGCTGAAATCAATAAAGTAGAAACCAGGAAAACAATACAAAGAATCAATGCAACGAAGAGTTGGTTCTTTGAAAAAATCAACAAGATAGACAAAACTTTGTCCAAACTTACCAAACAGCAGAGAGTGAACACGTAAATTAACAAAATTAGAAATGAAAAGGGGGACATAATAACAGACTCTGAGAAAATCCAGAGAATCATTAGGTCATACTTTGAAAACCTGTACTCCACAAAATTCGAAAATTTAAAGGAAATGGATGACTTCCTGCACAGCTATCAAATGCCAAAACTAAATCAAGAAGAGATAAGCAATTTAAATAGACCTATAACCCCCATAGAAATAGATGCTGTCGTCAAAAGTCTCCCAACCAAAAAAAGTCCAGGTCCAGATGGCGTCACTGCAGAATTCTACCAGAAATTCAAAGAACAGCTTATACCAATTCTTCTCAAAGTGTTCCACACAATAGAAGCAGAAGTGTCTTTGCCAAACTCTTTCTATGAGGCTTCAATAACCTTGATCCCAAAGTCACACAAAGATACAACTAAGAAAGAGAACATCAGACCAATATCCCTTATGAACATTGATGCAAAAATACTCAATAAAATAATGGCAAATCGGATCCAAGAACACATCAAAACAATCATTCACCACGATCAAGTAGGTTTCATCCCAGGGATGCAGGGATGGTTCAACATACGAAAATCCATCAACGTAATCCACCATATAAACAAGCTGAAAAACAAAAATAACATGATCATCTCACTAGATGCTGAAAAAGCCTTTGACAAAATCCAACACCCCTTCATGATAAAGGTCTTGGAGAGATCTGGGATAACAGGGACATACTTAAACATAATAAAAGCTATATACAGTAAACCAACAGCCAACATCAAACTAAATGGACAGAAACTCAACGCAATTCCTCTAAAATCAGGAACAAAACAAGGCTGTCCACTCTCTCCATACCTTTTCAACATGGTACTTGAAGTTCTAGCTATTGCCATACGACAACAAAGGGGGATCAAGGGGATACAAATTGGGAAGGAAGAGGTCAAACTTTCACTGTTTGCAGATGATATGGTAGTTTACATCAATGACCCAAAGAACTCTACCAGGGAACTCTTACACCTGATTAACACCTTCAGCAAAGTGGCAGGCTACAAGATCAACTCAAGAAAATCAGTAGCCCTACTATATACAGATGATAAAAGGGCTGAAAGAGAAATCAGAGAAACATCGCCCTTTACAATTGCATGAACAACATAAAATACCTTGGGGTAACGCTAACCAAACAAGTGAAAGACCTGTATCGTATGAACTTTGAATCTTTAAAGAAAGAAATTAAAGAAGTCCTCAGAAAATGGAAAGATCTCCCATGCTCTTGGATAGGTAGGATCAACGTATTAAAAATGGCAATCCTGCCAAAAGCAATCTACAGATTCAATGCAATCCCCATTAAAATTCCAGCACAATTCTTCACAGACCTTGAAAGAACAATAATCAATTTTGTATGGAAAAACAAAAGACCCAGGATAGCCAAAACAACCCTGTTCAGGCTTCCCGGCCTGTGTTCCAGAGCCTGCAGATCGCCTGGGAACTGCACAGAGCTCCCAATCCCGGCGGGAGCCAAGCACCCCAGACTCCAGATCTTCTCTCCCACCAACGAGTCCAGGAAACTAGAGAAGGCTGGGAGCACAGGGAAGTAGCTGTCCCTCTGGCATCATCAGGTAAACAGGCCAGCTTCCCGGCCTGTGTTCCAGAGCCTGCAGATCGCCTGGGAACTGCACAGAGCTCCCAATCCCGGCGGGAGCCAAGCACCCCAGACTCCAGATCTTCTCTCCCACCAACGATTCCAGGAAAGGAGAGGAGGCTGGGAGTACAGGGAAGTAGCTGTCCCTCTGGCAGCATCAGGTAAACAGGCCAGCTTCCCGGCCTGTGTTCCAGAGCCTGCAGATCGCCTGGGAACTGCACAGAGCTCCCAATCCCGGCGGGAGCCAAGCACCCCAGACTCCAGATCTTCTCTCCCACCAACGATTCCAGGAAAGGAGAGGAGGCTGGGAGTACAGGGAAGTAGCTGTCCCTCTGGCAGCATCAGGTAAACAGGCCAGCTTCCCGGCCTGTGTTCCAGAGCCTGCAGATCGCCTGGGAACTGCACAGAGCTCCCAATCCCGGCGGGAGCATCAGGTAAACAGGCCAGCTTCCCGGCCTGTGTTCCAGAGCCTGCAGATCGCCTGGGAACTGCACAGAGCTCCCAATCCCGGCGGGAGCCAAGCACCCCAGACTCCAGATCTTCTCTCCCACCAAAGAGACCAGGAAACTACAGGAGCCAGGGAGACCAGGGGAGTAGCTGTTCCGGATCAGGTACAACAGGACCCAGCATAGGGTCCAGGGGACCAGGTAGGAGGCTAAGCGCCCCAGATTCCTGTTCTTCTTCTATACCCACTGACCAGCATTTGGACAAGGCATAGAAGAACCACCAGATTACTGGACTTACTAGCACCCACCAAAAGGGAACTCTGGTCCCCAGACCAGGAAGGGGCTCTTTCTGCACCCACTAGAAGAAGAGATGGGAAAGAGACAATACAAAAACACAGTCAGCAACAGAAAAACAAATATGACACCGCCAGATTCTAGAGACTCCACACCAGCAAGACCCCAATATTGCAACGCGAAGGAAGCAGAAGAGAAC